CAACCTTTCTTCCGAGGAGTGGCTGGTGGGTTTGAACCGCCAGCCGTCTGGTTAGCAGGCAAGTGTCTTAGCCACTATGCTACCAGAGCTCCCGAGATGACCTATAGGTACCATAAACTGAGGCCCCTTGGCCACTGCAACTGAAAGAGAAGACAGTTGTCAACTATATGGGAACCAGCTCTTCAGGCTACATCTGTGTCAAATGGGTGGTCTAACATATACTTTGAACATGGATCAAGATGGTTGTTTGCTCCTCTGTAAATACCAGGACACAGACAACTTCTTTTCCAGGAAGGAAATACATTTTTATGAAAATGAAGCAAACAATCCTTAACTCATGCTTGACTTTCTTTGCAACCAAAAACCAAAAAACCAAACTCACTGCTGCCAAGTCAGATCCAACTCATAGCAACCCACTTTGTGTTTCCGAGGCAGTATCTCTATGGAAGCAGATTGCCCAACCTTTCTTCTGAGTAGTGGCTGGTGGGTCTGAACAGTCAAATGCCTTAGGCACTATGCCACCAGAGTTCCCTACCTTCTTATCTCTATTATTAATATGTATGTAGTAATTACCATGTGGAAAAACTTTGTAATGTTTTCCAGGGTGGGGTTTCCTTACTTATTGGCAAGAAAATGCCATAGAGGGGACATCTTTTTATGGATCTTTGGCTGAGACTTGACACATGGCTGTTTCATGGCTGGAAATGTGAAATGAGGGATATTATTCTGCCTAACACGCTACAGGGAAGATTTAAACTTCTCAACAAGCAGGAATCTGGATAATTAAAAACTTTAAAACATCAGTTTTCCCTTTAACATGAATTCACTAATTTACTAATATGAATATCAATACAAATTCTCATCCTTTTCCCATTTTCATCTGTCTTGCTCTTTCTCTCATCCTTATCTTTTCTACTGAGCTTCCACCCTGTGTTCGCATCCAACTTCTTTTTCCTCTATTATTTTTCCTAATTACAACCAATAACTCCCCATTTTCTGCTGTCTCTCTCATTTCCCTCAAACAGCCCTTTCCTTTTCCTGTGGCTCCTAGCACATCCCGCTCTCCTCCCTTCCTTCCCCACAACTCCACAATCCCTGAGGAGATCAAAGAATGATAGTGCGGCTGCAGCCCAGCTGAAAGAAATTTCCAGCTCCCCCTCCTGGCTGGGCTGAGTTGCGGGCTGAGGGACCAAGGCTGCGCTGCGGCGTCTTGGCTTCTGGGGTTGGGGTGGTTGTGGTGGAATTATTAAAGAGGTGTCTGAAGCAGCGTTGTACACATTAGAAAAATAAAATTCCCTTTGTGCTAGTTAGTGTGGTGTCCCTCAGTTTGGGTCTTCGCCACACATTCTTGAAAGCCATTGTTTACACTGGGGTTTTGTAGGTTACAAACAGTGCGGGTTGGAGTGGAGCTGACAATGTCAGCGCTTCGCGGGTACTGAGCTGACCCTAAAATCTGTGAAGAGAGGAGTTACCCTCAAGTGGGGGGAGTTCCAGAGCAAAAAAAAAAAAAGGGGGGGGAGGGCATACAACTGGCCAATCAGGAGGCGAGGGCGAGTTAGGCTTCCTCCTCCTTGCTCCTGAGCTGCAACAGTGGAAAGTTGGGAGCCTCAGTCGTTGGCTCAGCCGAGAGCGCGGCAGCAGTGGCAGAGATAGTGGGAGAGGCGGGGAGAGCAATCGGACTCCCATCGCGGCGCCGCAGGGCTCACAGCGGCCCCCGGGGCTTGGACGAGGCGCTCTGCTGGCACCCGCAGACACGCTACCCAGCGCTCGCCGGCAGATAGCAGTCCAGAGCCACCGGAGGAAGCTGCGTCTAGACAAAAGCTGTTGCATCTCTGCCCTGCTCAGCCCCAGGAGCGATTGGAGTTTGGTGCTTGTACACATCTAATACTCTATTCCGATTTTTTTTTGTTGTTGTTAGTTAAAAGAGATTTCAAGAGTCTAATGATTTACTCTGAGAGGAAACCCTCTGCTTGTTTTTGAGGCAGGCTAAGCACAGTGCTTAAGCGCTCAGGGGGAGAAATGATTTCCTGGGAAATTGTCCATACAGTGTTCCTGTTTGCTCTTCTTTATTCCTCTTTAGCTCAAGATGCAAGTCCCCAGTCAGAGAACAGGGCTGAGGAAATTCCCGAGGGAGCCTCCACTTTGGCTTTCGTGTTTGATGTGACTGGTTCTATGTATGATGATTTAGTTCAGGTTATCGAAGGGGCTTCTAAAATTTTGGAGACGTCTTTGAAAAGACCTAAGAGACCTCTTTTCAACTTTGCTTTGGTGCCTTTCCATGATCCAGGTAAGAAAAATACTTATTCTTTGTATTTGTTATTGCTCATGATTACATGATTTCTAATGCTATGAAATTGTCAGGAAGTTTCAAAATCATTAAAAAAAAAAGTGTAACTGAATACATTTGTAACAAAGAATTGTGCTGGCATTTGGGTTTTACTCTAAATGACTTGTTTAGGGAGCTTGTACAGTGGCTCCCAAACGCTGGAAATGTAGACTTAGTAAAAGCAGAAAACCAGAACCAAGAGTTGTAAAAGGCAACATCACAATCAGAGTTAATTTACTTTTTCAACTTAGAGTTAAAAAATGCTTAACTAAAATAAGCAGACTTGGACATGAGTATTTCAGCAGTAGTGCTCTGAAAGTTAACATCCAGGCTGAGTGCACATTGTTGGGATAATTATCACAGAAGAGGGGGTAAAAACCTGTTGTGTGAGACACAAGCATGTAAGTAATAGCTACACGTAAAACTGAAGAGATGGAAGAAAGAGAGAAGCCATTCATTTCTTAACTGCATCTGTTCATCTTTGCAACATGTCATCATTAGTTAGGTTCATGCATGGCTATAAACATAATGTCCATGTCTTATCCAGTAGAAGTGCATGTAATTTGGTATTTCTCTATACTTTAAAAATAGTTGAAGCAAAAGAACTTTATTTCTGCCCCACAGCCATGGGTTTCAGCTGCTCCACTGTAATCTGATCCTGTTTACTTTTTTCAGTTTCTCTTTAAAGTGGTACCTTTCTGTGAGGCTCACAGGAGCCCTCATTGTCATCACAGAAGGCAGCATGGCTGGGGGAGCCCTGGGGCTTGTGTCTAACATCCACCTGAGTTTCATTAGTACATGCTGCTGCTGCTGCCCAGTTGAAGAAATAAAACAGTGGTTTCTAAAAATTCCTCCCCCACTGTTCTCCCACTTTTTTCCTGCTTTGAAAATTTCTCTCTTCTTTAGAAGACCTTGACATAACCTTTTCATGAACACCTGATATTGAGAATCTCAGATTCTTTCCTTGTCATTTGGCAAACATACATGAGTTCAAATTATTGCTAGGTGTTAAATGTGGCAGGGTTCAACTGCTTCACAAAATGTCACTGGGAGAAATTTAGAGGGAAATAGAAGTTTCTTGCATTTTCATATTCTTCAAAAGTTGGAAATAACCTATCCTGCTTTTTTGAGACTATCTATCTATAAATAAGTCCTATACTAATTAAACATGGAATGGTTTTTATAGTTTAATAAAGAACGGAATGACCATTTACTGTGTTTACTGTCTCACTAAAACACCCTATGTGTTATGATGTCTTAATTCATTAAATGGCAAGATGCCAATAGTGATGCAGTTCAGGGTTCCTATTATTTTGGAATGACCTAAATATGTTTCTTCTATATGGATGTATCTGAAATTGCCTTAAAAATGAGGTAAAATGGTTTTCTCTTATTAGCACTGTGAATTGCTTTTCTCAACAACAACAAACTCTTGTGAAATTATGTTGCTGCAGATAGAACACAGAAATTGTCTCAAGTCATAAATGGAAACTGGACCATCATGATATTTTGAAGTGATATGAAAAATCACTTGAGTAAATGGTGTTATGGTATGCTGTCTTCAAATTGTTGCCAAATGGGAGAGTTTTGCACATTGCTGGAGTTGACTTTCATTTAGTATAGCAATCATGATTCAAAGTGGGGGAAGTGTGGCATGTTAATAGTAGGTGACTAATACATTAGAGGGAGCTCTGGTAGCATAGTGGCTAAGACACTTGCCTGCTAACCAGACGGCTGGTGGTTCAAACCCACCAGCCACTCCTCGGAAGGAAGGTTGGGCAATCCTACTTCCGTAGTGATACTGCCTCGGAAACCCAAGGAGGGGTCGCTATGAGTCGGGGCCGACTCGACGGCACATAACAACAACAACAATACATTAGAATCCAGAAGGCAGTTGGTTCAAACCTACCAGCCACTCCTCGGAAGGAAGGTTGGGCAATCTACTTCCGTAGTGATACTGCCTTGGAAACCCAGGGAGGGGTCGCTATGAGTAGGGTCTGACTTGACGGCACATAACAACAACAACAATACATTAGAGCTTTTTTGAGTTAAATTATATGAGAAAATGATTTACTTAAATTGGTTCCATAAAATTAATTGTATGTGTAATTCAGCGAAAATATTAATTCTATTTCCATTGTGACTTGAAGTAGTGAGAAGTGGCCAAAGGTTTATGTTATCAAGATAAAGATGGAAAATAGAAAGTAAAACATTATTCACCTTTAACTTGGTCATCTAATTCAATGTAATAGACTCTATTATTTTTGTGTGAATCTATGACATTCTTTCTCTGTGCATTTGTGTATACAATAACTAAGAGTTTCTAATTCTCTTGTAGCTCTGATTGATCATCAGCTTGTAATGATAGAGAGGATCTTGAGTAGATATTGGCTTTTTCACTGTGAGACTTTTCCTTCCTGTGTATCAGTTTCCTTAAATATAAAATGAGAGGATTGGATTTGAACATTTATAAAATCAATCTCACTGCAAACATTTTATGACTATGTTTGTATGTAATTTGGTATTTCTGTATACTTTAAAGGTAGTTTATTTCACGGTCCCTAACACATGTCCCTATGACTGGATTATACAAGTGAGATTTTAAAATAGTGTATGGGATTTAATATAATAATAATAATAACCTTGAATACCTACAGCTTTTCAAAGCCCTTTGATACCTGTTATCACAGTTAGCTAGATGAGATAGTAGAAAAGATTTGGGATATGATCTAAGGCTTTTGACAAAAACCTTTAGGCCTTTGCAAATAATTTCTTTGGATTTCTGCATTAGGATATATGCATATTTGGAGGTGGGGATTAGGGTAGAAATTAAAGCACACATGAAACATAGATATAGAGGAGGAAGAACATCTAACAAGTGGCAAACAGGTGAAGAAATCATTCAAAGTATGTGCATGTAGGAATGCAGTGTTGTAGGACCAATAGTATACCGGCAGCAGGAGAAGGTGCTGGAGAAGATCAAGGGTCATGGAAAGTCCATCCAACCTTTTGATGCTAACTGTGCTTAAGATGGGTTTTCTACTTATATAACTGCATTTAATATATTAACTTTAGCTGTGCTTTTAAAGCACTCAAAAGGTGTCTTCCTCAGAACACAGCTGAAGGAGGGCTGATAGAGTTCCTTTGACTACAGCTCCCTTCCTCACTCAGTCTCTCATTTTCTCCTTTCTCTGTAAGCAGATATGAGAGACAGAAGGAAAGAGAATGGACAGTGTGTTTAACGAGTTGCTTTATATAAAGAGATATTATCTTCTTTCACAATTATGTTCCTGATTTTTCCCTAGGATATCTTATGCCAGTTTTTATTCATTCACTTACTTTCTCACATATGATGCTTCAGGTATCATGTTAGGTAGCGAGAATACAAAAGGGTATAAAAATGGTAAAAGCCCTTGCCTTCATGGATCTTGTATTCTATCAGAGAAATATAGGCAATAAAAAAAATAATGAAAACATACATAGTATTCTGATGGTGGTAATTGCTATGGAAAAAATAAAAAGCAAAAAGCAGCAAAGGGAGTTAGGGGTGGATTGAGAGTGTTGACATGTTAATTATAATGGTCAAGGAAACCCCCCATTGTAAAGGTCACATTTGAACAAAGACTTGAAGGAAGTAGGGAAGGAACACTAAGGATATTTAGGGAAAGACTGTTGCAGTCAGAGGAACAATGAATGAAAAGCCCTCATGGCCAGAGCATCCTGACATGTTCAAGGAACCGTGAAGCGATCAGTGTGGCTGAAGCATAGTGAGTGATTAGGGAGAGAAGTTAGGAGGTGAAGTCAGAGAGGTGACAAGACCAGACATGAAAAGGCTTGTAGGCCACTGTAACTTTAGCTTTTACCTGTGTGAGATGGGAGCCACATTAGGGTTTGGAGGAGGGCAGCAATATGATCTGATTTATGCATTCACATAATCATTCTGACTGTGGCTTGAGAATAGTGTAAAGTGGGACAAGGGCATAAACATGGAGAATGGTTAGGAGACTATTGCAATAATTCAGGCAGAGATTCGTGATATATCGTGAATCAAGTTCGTAGGTCTGGAATTTTGAGAAACAACTGGAGTCAGTATGTACTGTAAAGATTGAAAAGGATTTGATAATGGATATGAAGTATGAGGAAAAGCAAACAAAAACAAAAAACCCAGATGACAAGATAGATTCTGACTTGTGCAAATTAAAGTATGGAATAACTGTTACTAAGATGAAAAGGGAGGGAGAGGTAGGTTTTGGGAGGGGAAAGCCTTTTATATTTGCTGTTTAAGTTTGAGATAGCTTTTGACATCCAAGTGGAGATATTAAGAAGGCATTTGGATATATGAGATTCAAATTCCAGGGGAGAATTCTGGGTCAGAGATGTCACTTTGGGATCCAAAGGCATGTATGTAGATGATATTTAGGTCCATGACACTAGATGAAACCACTTAGAGACTGATTATAAACTGAGGGTAGAAAAGGTCTAAGAACCTAGCCCCAGAACACTCCAAGGTTTAGAAGTCAGAGAGATGAAGATGAGCCAGCAAATCAGCCTGAGAAATTGAAGTCAAGGAGGTAGGAGGAGAGTATATTGTTCTAGAAGTCACAAGAAGAAAGTGTTTCAGGAAGAAGGACTCATCAGTCCACTAAGGGAAGGATTGAGAATTGCCTTTTCTAGTTAGCAATGTGGAAGTCACCAGTGACTAAGCAAGAGCAGTTTCAGTGAAGTTATGGGAGCAAAAGCCTGTTTTCAGTGAATTCAAAAGAAAATGGGAGAAGAAGAATTGGAAATCGTTGTAATTATATTGCTGTATCCAAGTACTGGAACGATTGGTTTGTTCATAGGGTTTCCATAGAATCTACTTCTGAGAAGTGTTTCAGCCAGTGTTTTATCAAATGCAAATGTAATATTGTAGAAAGAATAGCCAGTCCGGAACAGAAGACCTGTGTTCTTTTTCTTACTTT